GCATATGTCTTCAGTGGTGCTTATGTGCCCCTGAGCTGCCGACTCATCGAGCAGGTGAGAATAAGCGACCCGCTGCCATTCCTGTTTCACTCTCTGCATGCTCTTGGTCCCTGGCCTATCCCGACTTTCAGCCGCCCCCGTAACTAACAAGAGATGTGACAGTCTGTCTGGCTGCTGTGACCTCCCCTTCCTCAGCCGGTTAGGGTCTCAGACTTGAATCCCGTGCTCGTGCCTCCCAGGTGCTGGAGCGGCGAAGCTGGCAGGGTCTGGATGAAGTGGTGCGGCTACTCAACTGCAGTGAGCTGGCCTTCACAGGTGGGCGGCGCGGGCCCTGCGGTCCGGGTGGGGCGGGAGGGGGGCTGGGGGCGCCGCCCAGCGCCGGCGCGGCGCGGGAGAGCAGAGTCTGGCCCGACCCCCGCAGACATGACCAAGGAGGACAAGGCCTCCAGCGAGTCGTTGCGCCTCATCCTGGTGGTGTTCTTGGGCGGCTGCACGTTCTCGGAGGTCTCGGCTCTCCGGTTCCTGGGCAGAGAGAGAGGTAAGAGAGGACAGAAAGAGGGACCTGGGGGACCCAGGGCGGTGCTCAGAAGGCTTCCCGACGGGCCTCCGGGCACCCCTCACTGTAGTCTAGCTGCGGGTTCAAGCGCAGGGAGCCCAGCTCCGCCACGCGCAGCAAGTCGTCGTGCCCAAGAGTGTGGCCCTGCGTCTGTAACCTGCTGCTCTGGTCCAGTCAGGGCTGTGGAACTGGAGGGCTGGCCGGGGCTTGTTGTGGGGGCCTCCGATCTGCTCTTAGTCACGTGTGCTGGTGCTTTTGACTCCATAGGGTACAGGTTCATTTTTCTCACAACGGCGGTCACAAACAGCGCTCGCCTTATGGAAGCCATGAGTGAGGTAAAAGCCTGACGTCCTCCCTGGACACGTTTCCCTACGGGATGCAGGAACTTGGTCCCAGCTGCTAACCACGTGTCTGCCAACTACCCTACCAAGAGCCGGGGAGCTCAGAACTGACTCGGGATTTAGAGAAATTATCTGAGGAGAGCGCTCACTTCCGGCCCCCAGGATACGTGTCTGTTTTGTGTATGAAGTAAAGCTTGTGCTGGAAAGATAGGAGGAGGGAGAGGTACCGTTCACTAAGTCCTGTGTGAGTATCATTGCAAATAAAGCCTCTGCTCTCCAACGTCATGTTTAGTTCTCAACACGCACTTCTGTCATCTTGGCGAAGCAGAGGGGCTTCATGGGTTCTGTGGTCTGGACTCTGCAGTAGCTCTAGGCCTGGTCTGCTTCTCTCCTGAAACTTGCCCTGTACCAGAGTTTCCTCAACTGTAAAATGAGGGGGATCGATCAGATAGATGATCAGTAAGCACCCTTCCAGTTCTAAAATTCTGCGGTTCATTATACTTTATAAGTAAACCTTTGCCCAATGTGGGGCTCGAACTCATGACCCTGACGTCAGGGGTCATACGCTCTACCAACTGAGGCAGCCAGGTAGAGCTTATATTTTAGAAAAGATGAGTCTGTTACTGTTTAACTTCAGTAGGCACTTCAGTATTAAGCATTTGTCTCTTACTGCAGAATGAAGGATTGTGTCCCATTAGAGCAAGCACAGGCATCAGCAAACGGTGGCTCCTAAAAAGGTCACCAGTGCCCCCCCCCTTAACTGCTGATTTTAGTGGCCTTTCTCTCCCTTGACCTTTTAAAAATTGTGAACTGTAACCACATCCATCAGTCTCTTTTTGGTCCTCCTCTAACTTGACGTCCCTGATAACCACTTTTCCTTTCTTCTGTTCAGCTTCCGTGACACTCTTTTGTTGTCTTCCTGTGGTCTCCTGGGTTATGCGTCTGTCTCCTTGGATTACTTGTCTCTGCCTATCCCCTCTCTGTCCAGATGTCAAGCTTTCATCTTCCAGCTGTCAAACTTTCATCTTCCTGCTGAGCTTCACACTAGTATTTCCAACTTGGTCGTTCCACAGGCCCCTCAAACTCAACGTGTCTAAAAAGCTCTCAAACTGAGCCTCTTGTTCTCACTTGGAATCCCCCAATCTGCTCCTCTTCCTGTATTCCTGTAATTGACATCTTCGTCATCTACCCAAGTTTTGTTCATGAAAGAAATTCTAACCTTGACCTCAAATGTTTTCTTTTATGTGTGTTGCCTTTTTTTTTTTTTTAAAGATTTATTTGAGAATGGGAGAGAGAGAGCACATGAGAGGGGGTTGGGTCCGAGGGAGAAGCAGACTCCCTGCCGAGCAGGGAGCCCCATGTGGGACTCGATCCCGGGACTCCAGGATCGTGACCTGAGCCGAAGGCAGTCGCTTAACCGACTGAGCCACCCAGAGCTTCTTAACTGACTGAGGCGCCCTCAGATGTTTTCTTTTATCCTCCACATTCAGCTGGGCCCACTACCCATTATTTCTGAATGCTTCTGGCTCCTCCTGCCCTCACCATCCCCGTGTCAGAGATCCTTAATATTTTTTGCCTGGGCTTTTGCAAGACTGTCCCTCCCAGTCCCTTGGCTTCCTATCTGCCACTTACTAAAAGATCCAAATCTGTGTTGTTGGATCCTCAAAACTATTCTTTCCGTAGAGGGGTGCTGTGTCAGTGCATATTCCAAGGAAAATGCGTACTTCAGGTATCCAGCTAGAATTTTTAGTTTTTATGTCAAGCTATTGTGTAAGATCAAAGACACTGCTGAGAGAGCTGTTAGTCTGTATAAAGAATATGTGGCAGTCAGACGACGAGCCTGTGACCAAGGAAATAGGCCGTGGCAGCACACTGCACTTGCGTTCTAGAACGATGCTGTCCAATCCTGTAACAGGGTCCTGCTCAAACACACATCACAGTGTTTTACATGCTGAGTACATGCTCTGAGTGGATATCTTCCAATGGTTCTCTGACTTCGTTGGCTTCAGAACTACAGTGCGAAGACATGATAGCAAAATTATCTTATCTCTGGGTACTTATGATGCTGGCTCTGTGTACATGACTGAAGATTGCAAGTTTTTGAAGCTCTCTGAATAACTTTCAAGTTAATCAACAAAGTGCAAGTAAATTTAAAAAGTGTCTACGGCTCACTCCATCAGCCGTTGGAAAGTTTGGTGTGCTGCTGACGAGTTAAAGGGTGTTGAAAGCTCCAGCTAAGGGGCGCCTGGGTGGCTCAGTCGTTAAGCGTCTGCCTTTGGCTCAGGTCATGATCCCAGGGTCCTGGGATCGAGCCCCACATTGGGCTCCCTGCTCGGCAGGAAGCCTGCTTCTCCCTCTCCCACACCCCCTGCCTGTGTTCCCTCTCTCGCTGTCTCTCTGTCAAGTAAATAAAGAAAAAATCTTTAAAAAAAAAAAAGTTTAAAAGGAAAAAACTCCAGTTAAGTCCTTCTGAAAGAGAGAAACATGGTCCTGGAGGTGAAGCAAACAAGCATCCTTTACTTTTTCTTCATGGAAAAGGCAAATGAAAAGGAGTCACAGAAGTCATAGATGGCCAATACACTGAGGGAAAATGTGCAATTTCAGCTATAAACCAGCAAGTGCAAATCAAACAAGGGAATGACACTTTCTGCCTGTGAAACTAGCAGAGATTTAAAAGGACAGTAATACTCAAGAGCTCTTGAGGGTGAGAGGCTTCCATAGTGGGAAGGGCAAACTAATTCAATCCTTCTGGAAGGAGTGTTCAGTAGCTATCTTCTAGGAATCAAATGTAAGAAAATAATGCAAGGTGCGATTTATGTCTGAAGACATTTGTAAAAATTACGCTCTAAATATCCATTGATGGGGTGCCTGGGTGGCTCAGTCGGTTAAGAGTCAGCCTTCGGCTCAGGTCATGATCCCAAGGTCCTCGGATCGAGTTCTGCATCAGGCTGGCTGCTCAGCCTCTGCCCCTGGCTTGTGCTCTCTCTCACTCACTCTCTTTCTCTCAAAATAAATAAAATCTTTTTTTTTTTTTTTAAGATTTTCTTTCTTTATTTGACACAGAGAGCACAGGCAGGTGGGCCGAGGGAGAGGGAGAAGCAGGCTCCCTGCTGAGCCCGGCGCCTGATGATGCGGGTGCTCCATTCCAGGCGGCTGGGATCATGACCTGAGCAGAAAGCAGACCCTTAACGGACTGAGCCACCCAGGCGCCCCAAAATAAAATCTTAAAAAAAAAAAAAATACACACTGATAGCAAAACAGTTGAATTATGAGATACCTCCAGCCACAATATCATGCAACTGAATCACTGGAAAACAAAGCTATATATAAGCATTTAGGGATGTAGCATATATTCAGCGAAAAGAGGATACAAAAGTGCTTTGATGTCGATTATGAGTTTTAAAGTTTTCGGATAACTATATAAACCCCTGTAATTTGAAAGAACCATGCCCAGGTGAACTCCATTTGTGTGCCAAGCATGTGACCTGGGCAAGTCCCTCACGCCTTTCAGAGCCGGTTCTCTCCTGCGTAAAATGGCGATAATACCAAACGGGGCTGTCGTGGAGATTAAATGGGATCGCTCTCTAGAAAGGTGCCGGGCCCGTGAGCAGGGACGCAGCGTTCCTTCCCTTGCCCTCGAGGGCACGACTTCCCGCACCGTGGGGAAGGCTGCCACCAGAGATCAGCCCCAGGCTCGCCATCTGCCTGCGCGAGGGAAACGAGTTAAAGCGTCAGGCTTTCCCGCTGAGCCCGCTCCCGCCCAGCCGGCTGGCTGCGGTTCTCGCCCCTTCCCGGCGGCCTCCGGGCGGCGGCCAGAGCTTCGAATCCAAACAGTGCCGGGACGGGGTGTGGCCCACACGGCGCCTCTGGCGCGGGGCGGGGCGGGGCGGGGCGGGGCGGGGCGGGGCGGCCCTCCAGGCTCGGGCGAGACCCGGCGCCGGCGCAGACAGCGACCCCACCGCCAGTCGGAGAGCGAGCGTTTCCCACGCCCAGCGCGCGAGCCCGAGCCCCGAGCCCCGGCGCGCCGGGACCCAGTGCGCGCTCGCGGCTCGCCGCCAGGGGGCGGGGCTTGGCGAGGAGCGACGGGTCAGGGCGCCAATCGCGGGGCTGCTCCGCCTTCGGGCTCGGTTTGAAATTCCGCGGTGACCTAACGGCTCGCGGAGCCGCGGCTTGAAGCAAGACAGCCGGTGCTTGTGGGAGGTTGCTGCGCCCAGCCCCGCGCGGAGGAGGTTTGGGGCCTCGACGGCCGGCTGCCTGGAGCGTCCGCCATGAGGAGAAGGTGCGGGCTGCGGGAGAGTCGAGGGGACGCGGGAGGGAGCGACCCCCGTCCCGGGTGCGGGGCCCCCGAGGCGGCCCGGGCCGCGGGTGGTATGTCAGCCCGCGCCGAGTGAGGCCCGGGCGCGGCCGGCAGGTTTGGGGAGCGCCGAGCTGGCGCCCGGGCCGAGCGCCCCGGTGCGGCGGAGACAAGGCCTGCCGGGCACCGGCCCCGGCGGCCGCGGGCTCCCGAGGCTCCCGAGGCCCGGACGCGCCGCGATGTCCGCGAGCCCCGCCCGCCTCCCAGGTGCTGCCTCTTGGCACCTGCGGCCTGTTCTAAGCCCTGCGTCTTTTGTGGCCCGGTTCCTCGCTTCCGTTTAAATAAGGCCGTCACCGGTTCCATTTATCCGTGTCTTCCGCGGGGCCGGGCTGCAGTGCTCACGTTTTACCTGACTCGGACAGATAGCCGGCTTTCCTTGCCAGTTCAGGAGCTCCGTCGAGGAATTCCTCTCCGGTGGTTTTCACGACTCCCCCGGCCGTGCGGGGGAAGGGGCGGCCGACTTGAAGTAGGGGCCAGACTCGCCGCACCGACTGTCACCTGTCTCACCCCTTGTCCCCTCGATTTTCCCTCCGTCGCACTTACTGCCATTTAGTGGAAGGTTTGCTTATTTATCACCTTTCTTTCGCTCTCACAAGGTCAGCTCCAAAGGGGCAGGGATGTCAGTTTTGTTCTAACATAAGGATAATACCAGGGCATAGGGCTCTTGTGTTAAAATGTCTTGTGATAAAAACGTTAACCCTACTTTCTGAAAGGGGCGGGTGAGGCACCGTGATGATTCATTATTAGTTTGTAGTTATTGGTCAGACTGATCGCTCTATGGCTGTAGAATGTTCTTCCTGCCATAATTACTAATGCCTGTCGTTCTTTTTCAAGTGCTTGCCTTCCGGAGAATGGGAATTGAGTACAAATCGTGGTACCATTGGAAAAAACGGCCAGGGTTTTAAAAAATACAATAAAGCTGTTATTTTTTTAAAAATCTGCCACACAGTCTGCAGTGTTTTTTGGTTTGTGACTTAACTGAGAAACTTGGCCATGTTTACTAATTTAGCCAAATTGCTTTTACAGAATTAAATGACGTGAGATTTGTAGATCTCAGAGCCAGTTAAAACCAAAACAAATGTCTGTACAGCAAATGGACCGCTAGCCTCCAGCAGATAAATGGGCCACTAACTAAAAGCAGTATGCACACTATTGTTATAATGTAAAAGTTAACCATCCCTTGGATTTCATTACTTGAACAAATCTTATTGGGCCTGTTGCAAAATGGGTGTTTGGAATTACAAATCTTCTAGAGACCCTTCTCACTCGTGTACTGTTTTCAAAGAATTAAAAAATGTTCCACCCTTCACAACATTCATACTATTTCTTATATCACCCTGAAACCTCTTTCTTTTTTTTTTTTTTTTTTTTAAGATTGATTGATTTATTTCAGAGAGAGAGCACGAGAGGGAAGAGGGTCAGAGGGAGAAGCAGACTCCCCGCTGAGCAGGGAGCCCGACATGGGGCTCGATCCCAGGACCCTGGGATCATGACCCAAACCGAAGGCAGACACAACCGACTGAGCCACCCAGGCGCCCCAAGATTTGCTTATTTATCATTTTTCTTTTACTATTAGAATGTAAACTCCAAAAGGGCAGGGATGTCAATTTTGTTCAGTGCTGAATCCCCAACACTTAGAATGCACCCTATATGTAATAAACATTCAGTAGTATTTTTGAATGAATAACTAGATGTTTCAAAAAGTTGTATGATCGTAAGATGCCTCAGTACATTCTCTGTGCGTAATAATTCTCTTGATGCAATTACATGCCGCCTGTAAGTAGATAATTTCCCTAAAAGTACAAATTTGAGATTTTTATTCTTCTAACACATCACCAAAAAGCCGAGGATACCTAGAAAAATACTTCCCAAGGACACAAGCGGTTGTAGAAAGGTCCAATTTTCCCAGTCTCTTGAAACTAAGTCACTGGACTGGAAAAGATCTCAAATGAATGATTTCGTGTGGCAGAGAGTGTGATGGGTTTTGGTATATTCACAGAGTTGTGCAATTATCACCACAGCCAGTTTTGGAACATTCTCATCATCCCTTCAAAAAGCCCATACCCATTAGAGGTCAGTCCCTTTCCCCACCTTCCTCCCTCCCCACACCCCAGCCCCACAGAACTACTGATCTACTTCTGTTTCTTATACATTTGCCTATTCTGGATATTTCATATAAATGGAATCCTATGATACATTGTCATTTGTGACTGGCTTCTTTCCCTTGGTGTAGTGTTTTCCAGGTTTATTGCCAGATGACATTCCATTGGATAGGTATATCACATTTACCTGTTCATTAGTGGATGGCCGTTTTGGGTTGTCTCTGCTTTTTGGCTGTTATAAATATGTATTTGAGTTTTGTGTGGACATGTTTTCATTTCTCTTGGGTAAATACCTAAGGAATGGAATATCTGGGTTATATGGTAACTCTGTGTTCAACTGAGGAACTGCTAGACTGTTTTTCGAGTAGGCTTCACCATTTTTACATTCCCACCAGCAGTGTATGGGGGCTTGCCGTTTCTCCACATCCTTGTCAACACTTATTACTGTTTTGTTTTGTTTTTTTAACTGTCTTTTGTATTATAGCCATCTTGGTGCCTGTGAAGTGGTATCTCTCTGTGGTTTTGATTTGCATTTCACTAGTGATGTTCAGTGTGTTTTCACATGCTTATTGGCCATTCTATATCTTCTTTGGAGAGATGTCTATTCAGATTCTTTTCCCGTGTGCTAGATTTTATGCTTCAGAAAAGTGATCACTTTACCCTCTGAATGTGTTACAGAGCTAGGCAGCACTGCTTTTAAATCTGTCAATATGTGAGAGCTTATAAACTGAAGGTAGCTGGAAGTTAGAGGCATAATGAGCCTTTGGCAGGAACTCAGGGCCATTCATTTTACATTTATTGAACACTTGCTGTGCATTAGGGTCTGGTAAAATGAAGATGGATAAGATCTGGCAGTCCTTGCCCTTGAGTCTATGGTCTACAGGGTGGATGGGGGAGGTTGGGGGGAGAAGTGACTGTGAGGAATCCACAGCTGTCCAGAGAAGGTGATGGCAGGTGGAAGTTAATGTACAGAAGCATGACATTATCAGCAACTGAGAGCTACACCTGGCTGAGTGAGGGGCATGTCCAGGAAATGCTCAGAAGGTCAGTTGGCTGGAGTCTTAAGGAGTGAGCTGGTGAGAGAGATTAAGAGACAAACCTGAAGAGAGGTTTTAGAAAGCCTTTTCTTTGAAAGTGGTTGAAGTGTTTCCTGAGGGCAATGGGAAATTGTGAAGGGAGTAGTTCAGTAGAGGCCTGATTGGATTTTGTTTTCCAGAGAACCTCGCTGCCCTAGCTGTGCCGAGTGGCCAGGGTGGGGTGGGCCAGACTGGAAGAGACTCTAGAGCGCTCCCTCGAGTATTGCCCCTCAGAGCAGCGCCCCAGGCTGGTCTGGCTCAATGCCTGGGCTTTTGCATTCAGATTGAATATTGACCAAGATGAGATCTTGTAGTTGTTTGTTTTTTTTTTTAAGATTTTATTCATTTATTTGAGAGAGTGAGGTTGAGCACAAAGGGAGAGTGAGAGGGAGAAGCCCACTCCCCGCTGAGCAGGGAGCCCGATGTGGGGCTCGATCCCAGGCCCCTGGGATCATGACCTGAGCTGAAGGCAGACGCTTAACGACTGAGCCACCCAGGCGCCCCGGATAGGCAACCTTTAAATTGGGATTTCGGGCGCCTGGGTGGCTCAGTTGGTTAAACGACTGCCTTCGGCTCAGGTCATGATCCTGGAGTCCCGGAATCGAGTCCCACGTCGGGCTCCCTGCTCAGCAGGGAGTCTGCCTCTCCCTCTGACCCTCTTCCCTCTCTTGCTCTCTCTCAAATAAATAAATAAAATCTTAAAAATAAATAAATAAATAAATTGGGATTTCTTGGCTAGAGAAATGTCTTAGATGTGAAAATATTCTTGGAGATCTAGGCTGGTGACTCATAGAACCACTGAATACTCGGAGGCACAAAGGGGGCCAATGAGAGCCTTGAGCCCCCTCGTTTGTGGATAGCACACGAAGAGCTTAAGTGACTTGTTCTAGGCCTCACTGCTAACTGGTGGCAAAGCACATCCACCTTCTCTGGTGCCAGAGCAGTGTCTTTGTTAGCCATTTGTATCTAAGAAAGGAGAGAAAATTTCTCTATTTTTTGAATGTTATGTGAAGCAGACTAATGGTTATCATTTTTAAAGTAACCTTTTTTTTTTTAAGATAAAATACAAGGTGCCTAGTTAAATTTGTATCAGATAAACAATTTTTTAAAATAAACTTTTTGTAACTGAAGACTAACATATAGAAATGTGCATAAATCCAAGTCCCAACTCAATTTTCACAAAGTCAGCACACACCTATGTAACCAGTGCCCCGTGTATCCCTGCCCAGTCACCACCTCCCAGGACAATGGCAACCACCATTCTGACTGCTGAAAGCATACCTTGGTTTTGCCTGTGTTTGAATTTTATATAAACGGAATCACATAGTGATATATGCTTGCTTGTCTTGCTTGTTTCACTTAAACTGTTTTTCCTTTTCTTCCCCAACATTTTTTTTGTTTTTTCCACATTAGTTTTGTTTTACCCCCCTCTTTTTTTTTTTTTATTTATTTGAGAGAGAGAGTGCATGGATGAGTGTGGGGAGGGGCAGAAGGAGAGAGAGAATCTCAAGCAGACTCCATCCTGAGCCAGGAGCCTGAGGCAGGGCTTGATCTCACAACCCTGAGATCATGACCCTAGCTGAAATCAAGCGTCTGAGCCACCTAAAGGGCCTCTTACCTCCTTTTTTTTTTTTTTTTTTTATCGTTTAGATTTGAGGTATAATTAACATACGGTAAAATTAACTCATTTTACATGTATATTTTGAAGTTTGGTCATTGCATACAGTTAGGTAATCACCGTCAAGATCTAGGACCATTCCATCACCATAAAAAAAAAGTTCCCTTGTGCCTTTCTGCAGTTGATCTGCTCTGGTCCCAGGCTTTCTTTCACTGTAGTTTTTTTTCCTAGAATTTCATAAAATGAAATCCTATAGTATGTAGTCTTTTTGCATTTGATTTCTTTCATTTAGCATAGTTCACCATCATGTTTCTGAGACTTATTCATGTGGTGTGTTCATTGCTGTATTATTCCATGGTAGGAATGTACTGTTTATTCTGTTGGTGGACATCTGGGTTGTTTCTACTCTTATGCTATTAGGAGTAGTGCTGCCCTGACCCTCCTGTGCGTGTCTTTACCACGTGCATGTTCGGTTCTGCTGCACCCACGCGCATGTAAAAGTGGAACTGCGAGGTTTGGCTTCAGTAGATGCTGCCAGCAGGTTTCAAAGTGGTTGTACCAGTTTCCACTCCAGACCAGAAGTATATGAAAGTCCTGGTTTTTCTGTACCCTCACCAACACTTGATGTTTGTCGTTTGTAATTTTAGCCATTCTGTAAGTCGGTAGTTGTAACTTAAGAACAACAAAATTGTAATGAGTTGCCGGCTGTTTTATAGGAGCAAGGTCTTGTGTTAGGTGGGAGTTTATTTTGTGTGGCTTATCTTTCCTTTTTAAGTAATCTCTATCTCTACACCCAGAGTGGGGCTCGAACTCACAGTCCTGAGATCAAGAGTCCTATGTTTTGCTGACTAAGCCAGCCAGGCGCCCCAGTCTGTTTTTCTTTTATAATTCTGTATTGTACTGCCATAGGTAGAATTGTTGATGAAAGTCCTGATTCTGAGTATTATTGAGAGGATTGACTTTCCGGGGCACCTGGGTGGCTCAGTTGGTTGAGCATACGACTCTTGATCTCAGCTCAGGTGTTGATCTTGGGGTATGGGTTCAAGCCCCTCGTTGGGTTCCACGCTGGGTGTGGAGCCTACTTGAAGAAGAAGATTGAGTTTCCACAGTTCAAGGTGATACTGAATTTTGCTTTGCCAGTGTTGTGGTGTTTTGGAAAAGAGCTGTTAAAGCTGAATGCTTGTTTTCAATTTGTTTTATCCTGAGGCCACTGAGAAAGGAGTCTGTTTAGTTTGTGTAAATACTGCTTTTAGTCTGGGGGCAGTGGCTCATGTTCCTGGACTCTCTTTTGCTTTTCAGTGAGGTGCTGGCAGAGGAGTCAATAGTATGTCTCCAGAAAGCTCTGAATCACCTTCGGGAAATCTGGGAATTAATTGGGATTCCAGAGGACCAGCGGTTACAAAGAACTGAGGTTGTAAAGAAGCATATCAAGGTAAGTGAGTCGTACTGGTCTGTTTGCAGCGGGACAGCAGTACGGATACTGGTGTCCCATTGGAGATGGTTGGCGAAGTGCCACTGGAGTGTCACAGGCTCTTCCTGGTTTTGTTTCTATTTAAGTCCTTTCTTAAGAATTTGTAATTATGAAGGTTTTGGTGTTGTTGGTTTGGGGTTTTTTTCCCATTGGCCCCAAACTTTTATGGGACTGTTTTCTCTCTTGTAGGACCTCCTGGATATGATGATTGCTGAAGAGGAAAGCCTGAAAGAAAGGCTCATCAAAAGCATTTCCATCTGTCAAAAAGAGCTGAATACCCTGTGCAGCGAGTTACACGTCGAGCCATTTCAGGTACATGGTGGGGCCTTGGGGGCTCCTGCTTGGTCTGAGATTTAGGAAGGAACTCTGACTTGGGGCTGCAGATGGAAGATTTCCTTTTAGAATCTTGGCCATAAAAAGTGGGCAGAATTTGCCACCTAGTTAATTAGTTCCAGCAACTTTCACTTAGGTAAAGAGTTGCCCTGTTGAGAGGTGGGACAGCTAATAAGTGTTACAATCCTTTGATCAAAAACAGCTTCCTCTTGCCATCATTTTGCAGGGCATATAACTTTTTTTTTTTTTTTTAACTCTAGGGAAAAGCTAGGTATAGATGGTACTATGCTATCCTTTCTCCTAAAGAAAATGAAAGGCACTACCTAGGAAGCAAAAGTGACTGGTGATATAAGGGAAAGTTACCAAAAGACCTGCCTTTGTGGGTTTTTTCATACCCAGTAGTTGTATACCACTGAACCAGCCAGAATGGCTACTTGAAAGGAAATGTCTCAAGAGCTGGAGTGTCTGGAGAGCATAGTCAAATTCAGAGCATGCAGCATTATCTGTGTATCAGGCTGAGAGGTTGCTGTTTGGTGGTCCAGCACAAGGCAGGGCTTGAATGAAGACACCAACGAGGATGAAATGAGTAACAAATAGGATAGCGGGTCCAAAATAGGTCCTTGGGGAGGACCAGTAAAAATTGTGTTGGGATCATAAAAATGGAAACCAACGTGGAGCTTGGGAAGGTAATTCAATAGCTGTGAATGTAGAGCCAGCACAGGATGGCTATAGGATTCTTGGGTCCCTCTCTCTGTTACAGCAAGAACTACCTGGGTATCTAGATGGAGTCAGCCTAGGAGGGAGTTTCTTCTTTCCTTTTCCTTTTCCTTTTCATTTCCTTCCCTATCTTTCCTTCCTTTCAAAAGATTTTATTTATTTATTTGAGAGAGAAAGCACAAGCGGGGCGGGGGGCGCAGAGGGAGAGGGAGAAGAAGCAGACTCCCTGCTGAGCAGGGAGCCTGATTCAGGACTCGATCCCAGGGCCCTGGGATCATGACCTGAGCCGAAGGCAGACGCTTAACGACTGAGCCATACCTGGCAGCCAAGAGCAATGAGATAGATCATGACATTAGTGGAATTTCCTGGAATCTACAGAAATGGCATATATATCATTGATTTTAGACAAATAGTTTCTTTAGTCATTTTCTTTTAACTTTCAGTGTGAAATTAGGTGAGAAGTTAGATAAACAGTGATATATCTCCCTTAAATTATATGACAGTCTTTATTAGTTCATGAATGTTGAATAAAATTGTGTAAATTTTTAAGTCCGATAACTGCCACTTTTTTTCCTCTTGTTAATCAGTTGGAGTAGAGCAAGGACTATTGATTTTTATTGGTTAGGTGGTATTCTTAGGATTATTAGGATGAGCATCATGTTTTGAATTAGATATACTATGCTGTAGCTAACTCAAAGCAAGCTTTCCAAGCACTCTTCACCTCTTGCAAAAGTGTCCTGGTACCTTTCCTTATTCGAGGCCTTTCTTAGGGAACCCTGTTTGTGCCATATTTTTTTGGCCATAAGTTGACATATTTGTAAGTTTAACTTAAAAGTCTGTCATCCTAGGGGCGCCTGGGTGGCTCAGTCAGTTAAGTGTCTGCCTTTGGCTGAGGTGATGATCCCAGAGTCCTGGGATTGAGTCCCTTGTCAGGCTGCCTGCTCAGCGGAGGTCTGCTTCTCCCTCTGCCCTTCACCTGGGCTCGCTCTCTCAAATAAATAAAATCTTAAGAACAAAACAAAAAAAAGTCCTGTCATCCTAGCCCTCTTCCATTGTCCTTCTCTTCATTTGAAGAGATCCACTTGGAACCTTCTCACAATAGTACATTGTCTCCTGCAGGAAGAAGGAGAGACGACCATCTTGCAGCTAGAAAAGGATTTGCGCACTCAGGTAGAACTGATGCGAAAACAGAAAAAGGAACGAAAACAGGAACTCAAACTACTTCAAGAACAAGATCAAGAGCTGTGTGAGATTCTTTGCATGCCCCACTATGGCATCGACAGCACCTCAGTTCCCAGCTTAGAAGAGCTGAGCCAATTTAGACAGCACGTGGCCTCATTGAGGGAAACAAAGGTAAGCACTTGCATTCATACTTCCTAAAAGTCGGTTTTGACTTTCCTGTAGGTAGGTACTGGTAATCATTTTATTTTATAGGCGTCTAGACATGAGGAGTTTGTCAACATAAAGAGACAGATCATCCTGTGTATGGAGGAATTAGATCACACCCCAGACACAAGCTTTGAAAGAGATGTGGTGTGTGAAGATGAAGATGCCTTTTGTTTATCTCTGGAGAATATTGCAACACTACAAAAGTTGCTTCGGCAGGTAATGACTGCTCACATTATGGCCTGGGATCTCCATAGTGTCCAGAAATTTGAAAAAACTGACAGTTTTGTCCTTCTGGCTTAAATAAGCCAGTTTACGTAAGTTAAAAGAATGAGGGAGGATAAAGATAGTAAATAATGTATAACCTCAGGGAGTTTTTTGTCTTTTTTTTTTTTTAACAAAAAAATGTATTTGTGGCTCTAAGAATGGAATTGAAATCTTGGATGAAATACTATTAGTCACGTGAATTGGCTTAGTATTTAATTTTTTTAATAATCTGAATCCTAATTCTTGGGGCTTGAGATCCTACCATAATGGCAGCCATACAGTTTGTGTTCAGAAGTCATGAAAACATACTTCTTCACAATCTAGTAAAAGTGCTTCTTCTCTCTGTGGGTCCAGACATTTCTTTGCGGGAAGCCACAGGGCTGGCCTTCTTTGTGCTGCTCTCTGCCATAACCATTGGCTCTCCTTGCTACAGCTGGAAATGAGAAAATCACAAAATGAAGCAGTGTGTGAGGGTCTGCGAGCTCAGATCCGAGAGCTCTGGGACAGGTTGCAGATACCTGAAGAAGAGAGAGAAGCTGTGGCCACGGTTATGACTGGGTCAAAGGCCAAGGTCAGGAAAGCGGTAAGAAATCCAATGGGCACTGGGTCAGCAGTCTCTACGAGTGTCAAGTGTATTGTCTTCAACAGTGTCTGCCTCAAGCAAGCCTGTTTTTTGTTTTGTTTTAAAGATTTATTTGAGAGAGAGCGTGTGCACAGAGTGTGCAAGAACACGAGCGGGGTCGGGGGTGGAGGGAGAGAAGCAGACTACCCGCCGAGCAGGGAGCCCGATGCGGGGCTCGATCCCAGGACCCCAGGATCATGACCTGAGCCGAAGGCAGTCGCTTAACCGACTGAGCCGCCCCGGCGCCCTGCGAACCTGTCTTTAAGGCCAGTGTTCGACAAGGATGGCTGTAGCCTGCCCATCTTCTGTCCTTTGTGTACATTTCTTAGGTTTCTGGCTCCCAGGATATCAGCGTTATAAAAAGTGTTGACTGGGGCACCTGGGTGGTTCAGTGGGTTGGGTGTCCAGCTGTTGAGTTTGGCTCAGGTCATGATCTCAGGGTCGTAGGATCAAGCCCCACGCCCAGCTTGGAGCCTGCTTGGTATTCTCTCCCTCTCTGCCATTCTGTGCGCGGGCATGCACACTCTCCCTTAAAAAAAAAAAAAAAAAGTGTTGATTTACCTCTGTGGCTTTGTGTTGTAATTTTATTTAAACGTTTTGGGGGGGCTTTTGAACTTTTGTATTCCTATGTGAAAGTAAATGTATGGCAAGCACCTTTACCAGGTCTCTTTGTTACAGCTGCAATTGGAAGTGGATCGGTTGGAAGAACTGAAGACACAAAACATGAAGAAAGTGATTGAGGCAATTCGAGTGGAGCTGGCTCAGTACTGGGACCAGTGTTTCTACAGCCAGGAGCAGAGACAGGCTTTTGCCCCCTACTATGCGGGTTTGTACACAAGCAGAGGTCTTCCTGAGGGCAGACGTTCACCAGCACGTATTTCCTCTACCAAACAGATACAGCTGCCTTTTCAAGCCCTGTAGCATAAATTGCCATTCCTGTATAATTAACATTTGCAAAAGCCACTAGGAAATAAAGGGCCTCTTGATTTCTGAAGTAGTAAATCACTGTAGCCTGTAGTTGCGAGGCTCAAGTCTGTCAGGTGCTTACTCCACGCCAGGTGCAGTGTTAGACCCTTAACACTATTATCTCAGTTAATCCTCACCTCAAGAGAGGAGGACATGAAGGCACATAAATGTTCAGCAGCTGCACTCAGAGGCACACAGCAGGTCAACAGCAGAGCCCATGTTTGAGCCCGTGGAATCCATCCCCAAGAGCTCAACGGAATTCGAGTCTGACCTGAACGGAGTATAAAGATGAGATTGTACTAAGTTTTTAGACATCTTCTGTGAGCAGGATGGAAAGGAAGACTGTGAAGGAAACCTAGAACAAGGCAAGAGGTGACACAGAACTTTGAGAATCTTCATCATCGGAACCTACACCCTAGCCCCTACTCCCTACTCGCCCCAGACTGATCATGTGACAGAGCTGGCTTTATCATCCACAATATATACTTAATTATGTGTCACTTGTACTATGAGGAATAAAAACTGATTTCCATCTTGGGAGGATGAGGGTTAGGGATTAGTAAATTGGGATACTAAACACTAGAGGGATTTTTTAAAACTTCTGGACCTGTATCTTGCAGAGGACTACACGGAAAATCTGCTCCAGCTCCATGATGCTGAGATCGTGCGGTTAAGAAACTACTATGAGGTTCACAAAGAACTCTTTGAAGGTGTCCAGAAGTGGGAAGAAAGCTGGAGACTTTTCTTGGAGTTTGAGGTACCACCCTAGCTTCTGTTTCCCTAGAGTGCAATCAAGGGTTAAGGCCTGCCCTGCAGAGTCAGAATCCACTCTCCTTTGCTCTTTACCAGGTTTCTAATACCCTGTCTTCATCACTAAGTTTCTGAGTTACTGCTAACCCATCTGTGTTTGCAGAGCTCATCGGTGGAAGCCTAAATTAATGCCTTCAGTAAGGTAGAATTCTTGTGTAAAGAAGTCCAGAGGTAGAGCGTGCAGGGCAGGTCCGGCTGTTCTGCAGTCAGCGGTGTCCCAGGCTTCTCCAGCCCAGAAGGGGTGGACCCTATCCTCAGGTTCAAGGTAGCTCTAGAGCTCCCACTGTTGAGCTTCAAGCACTGCCCCTCTAGCCCCTCTGAGGGCTCTTCCCAGTCCCTCTGCTTGCACACCACACCAGCTGCCAGTGAGGCTGGGGGAGCTTCCGCCACAGATAAATTCAGGTTCCCCGGACAAAGGAAGGAGAGGGCGGATGTGGGGGCAGGCAGTTATTATTTGCTATCATTCCAACTTCTGTCTTCTTAGAAAGTTGCCTGGGTATTAGGGCACATTTGTATAGTCTGAATTCCTTTTCTTCTGACAGACTTGGCACTCACAGCTTTCCTCAGAGCTTTTCTGAGCCTCAGGGCTGGGACTTGGGTGAGCCAGACGAGACATGCAGGGCACATGGAGACTCCTCAGAGCTTGAAAGGGGCCATTAGTCGGGCGCCTGGGTGGCTCAGTTGGTTGAGCAACTGCCTTCGGCTCAGGTCATGATCCTGGAGTCCCGGGATCGAGTCCCACATCGGGCTCTCTGCTCGGCAGGGAGTCTGCTTCTCCCTCTGACCCTCTTCCCTCTCGTGCTATCTCTCATTCTCTCTCTCTCTCTCAAATAAATAAATAAGATCTTTAAAAAAAAAAAAAAAGAAAGGGGCCATTAGAGAATCTGAGTTCAACTCCTTCAAGGTTACAGGAGGGAAACGAGAACTCAAATGGAGAGACCTGTGTGAGATCTCAACAGCTGTTTAAGAATAGATGTCCTACTGTTACTCCTTAACTTGTGGTTGAAAGCAAGAGGGAAGGGTAGTAAATGTCAGTAAAGAGCCAGATAAGTAAGTCTTGTGGACATGCCAGTATTTAAGGAAAAATAAAAGCATTACCATCCCCTGTAGTTAGTGTTTATGGGCAGTTAGCAATCAAGTGGTTTGGAAGGGGGAACAATTTCTTTACAAGCTTTGCCCCCAAATTGTCAAGATTGTTTCTAAAGTTTTCTGATGATCTCCAATTTTTGAGTGTATAAATCTAACTTATATGCACAAATTAACATGCTTAAATTACTGTTCTGGTAAACTGTGTACATGATACAGTAACAAAAAACAGAAGAGGAAGCCTAACACTTTACATGTTTACTTGCCTATTTTGTGTTAATTTCATAAAAAACGGATTATAAACCACCTAACTGGGCACATTTAAGCTGCACTGTCAATATGCTAGAAGTGGGTGGGCAAGTAGGGGTGCCACCACCAAGCCCTCCCAAGTGTAGACCTCTCCCTTGTCCCTCCACATACATTCCCTACAGATGACAAGTCATCTTTGACATCTGAACCAAGGAAGGGAGCCAGTGACATTGTGCATTACATATTAAAGACTATCTTTTATTTTTTTTAAGATTTTATTTATTTATTTGAGAGAGGGAGAGAACCACAGGGAGAGGCGAGGGAGAAGCAGACTCCCTGCTGAGCCAGGAGTCTCAAGCAGGGCTCAATCCCAGGACCCCGTGATCATGACCTGAGCCGAAGGCAGATGCTTAACCCACTGAGCCACCCAGGTGCCCCCTCTCTTGCTTTTAGATTAAGAAGGAAACCATAGTTTTCTTATTCGCCAGTGGATGATCTTGCATACGCCTGTGGTGCTCACACCCCACTCTCCTGTCTTAGGACACCACCATTTCTCACGCTGACAGTGGATGGGAATGCAAAACTCTCTTGAGTCTCCTTAGTATGTATCAGTTTATGAGAGCAAGGAATCTTAGCAGTAGTTACTAGTCTGATCATCTCAGGGCTTACTCTAATTAAAAGGTATTTTTTACAGAGAAAAGCTTCAGATCCAAGTCGCTTTACAAACCGTGGAGGAAATCTTCTAAAAGAAGAAAAGCAACGAGCCAAGCTTCAAAAAACGCTCCCCAAGGTAACATCGCCACTAAGAGTTTTTGGTGCTTGGCTACAAAATACCTTACTTTTTGTATAGCCTTTGCTTTCAATTATCTTGCCCCAGAACTGTCTTCTTTTCCAAAGCTTAGGCAAGGATGGTGAGTATATACCGAGCCTTCCTGGTGTAAGCACCTGAATATCAAGGTTTCTTAGCTTTCTAGGGCTGCCATAGCCAAGTGCCACAGACTTGGGGGGCTTCAACAACAGAGATTTATTTTTTCACAGTTCTAGAGGCTAGAAGTCTGAGATCAAAATATCAGTAGGGCTGGTTTCTTCGGAGGCCTCTCTCTCGACTCGTGGATGACTTGCCTTCTCCCTGTATCTTCACATGGCCTTCCTTCCGTCTGCATCTGTGTCCAGATTTTCTCTTAACAAAGCCACCAGTCACGATGGATTAGGACTCACCTGAATGACCTCATTTCCCCCCCCCCCAAATGACTTCAACTTCATTAGCTGTATGTCCAAATAAAGCCACATTCTGGGGTACTGGGGGAGTTAGGACTTAAACATGAATTTGGGGAGGACACAATTCAGCCTATAACATAAGGCAAGCTTTTGAGAAAGTGCTGTGGGCTTCATTACTATTTTTTTTTTAAAGATTTTATTCATTTATTAGAGAGAGAGTGTGCAGGGTGGTGGGGCGGAGGGAGGGAGAAGCAGACTCCCCACTGAGCAGGGAGCCCGACACAGGACCCGGAGATCATGACCCAAGCCAAAGGCAGACGCCCAACTGACTGAGCCACCCAGGCGCCCCTACTGTTGTCCATTTTAATAGTAGTAGTAATTGTTAGCATTTACTAAGTGCCAGATACTGTTGCCAAGTGCTTTCCATTTGTTAATTCATTTAGTTGTCACAACATCCTTATGAGGTTGGAATCATTTCCATTTTTATAGATGAGGAAATGCCCTGGGAACTTCAGTAACTTGCCCACCTTTTCATAGCCAATAAGAGGTAGAGTCCAGATCGGAACCCGGATAGTGGTGCTCTTAACCCACACTGCCTATTTCATGTTGTTCGTCTTCCCCTGCTGCTGCCTCCAGCTTTAGGCACCAAAACCCTAGTTAGACTCTGGGTTCTTGCCTTTTCCCACCTTCTTGTGTGTTATGAATGAACCATTACTAGGCTTTACTTTCTGGTCACTCTGACCTGTACCCACATGGGTCCAGCAACTTGACGTTCAGCTCATGGTCTCTGGGGTGGGGTCCTCCTTTGGGAGAATCATTTCATTCGAGCTTCATACCAAAGATTTGAAGTAATTAGCATGTCCTTGTCTATGATCCCAGTTGGAAGAGGAGTTGAAGGCACGGATTGAAATGTGGGAACAGGAGCATTCGAAGGCATTTGTGGTGAATGGGCAGAAATTCATGGAGTACGTGATGGAGCAATGGGAGATGCATCGACTGGAGAAGGAGCGAGCCAAGCAAGAAAGAGTGAGCGAGCACAGTGGGGGCCAAAGGGATGGGAATGTGAGCAGCCCAGGGTCTCTGCGAGGGATGAGGGGTGGCTGAAGAGGTCGCCCTGGGTACAGGGACTGGGCACTTGATTTCTGGCCCTGCTTCTGTCCCATCTCAGGCCTGTTCCCTTCCTGAGATTTATCGCTGTTGCTTCTGACTTCCACACAGCAACTCAAGAACAAGAAGCAGACAGAGACAGAGATGCTCTATGGCAGTGCTCCCCGAACCCCTAACAAGCGGCGAGGACTGGCACCCAACACACCGGGCAAAGTGCGCAAGGTGAACATGAGGCTTTGTGAACCACTCTTTACGAGGGGCTGTTGAGGCTAGGGCTCTTGGCCACCTCTTGCCTCCTGCCCTACAGATGGGAGAGGGTTTGGGGGCCTTCCGGTTTGGGTTCCTCTAAAAGTATGAATGGAAGAGTATACTTAGCCCCAGCAGCAACTCAATAATGACAGTCATGGAGCTGTCAGCTCGGATGTGTGCTTGCTGTTGAGGTCTTGGGTTAAACTCAGGGGAGACCATGCTGCCAACAGTCTGTTAATGATGATGACCTTCAGCGGTTCATCCTGGAATTCCAACAAGTGACCGTGGTATTCTGTGAAAGACTTTCATGTTTATTAAATGGAATATTCAGTACTGCTCAATCTCTGGAGCAGGAAATTGGGGAGGATTTTAACCTTTTCTTTGACAAATGAAGTAGAGCGTTATTTCCCTTCTCTTTCCTCAGCTCGTACTTTCTAACACATAGATAGTTAAAGAATCACCTGCAGGGGCGCCCGGCTGGCTCAGTCAGTAGAGCGTGTGACTCTCGATCCAGGGACCAGGAGTTCAAGCCCCATGCTGGGGCTAGAGGTTACTTAAAGAAAAAAAAAAAAAATCACCTGCAATAAACTCCAAGAGGACCACTGAGAATATTTGTTTTTCCTGATTTTAAGAAAGCTTTTAAATAATGTATTTTTACAAAATAGAGATTACATATAATTTGGATTTCTGCCTTTTCCCTACTTGGTATTGGTTGTGATTTTTTTTCATAGCATCAAACATTCTTCAAATGCACACTCATTATTAGCTGTACATTCTATCCTCTTGACATGCTGTCATTTATTAAACTAGCTCCCTGTTGTTATATAGTTTTTAAAGATTTTAAAGATTCATTATCTTAAAGACTCTGCATGCCCATGCTCAAGGCGGGGATAGAGGCAGCGGGAGAGGGAGAGAATCCCAAGCAGGCTCCATTCCCAGCACAGAGCCCAGCCCGGGGCTTGATCCCACAACCCTGAGAACACGACTTGAGCCGTAATCGAGAGTCAGACACTCAACTGACTGAGCCATCCAGGTGCCCCTACCTAGAGTTTATTATTTTTTTTAAGTTTAGTTTTATTGAGTAAAATTGGCACATAAAGTGTATGCGTTCATAAGTTTTGACATATGTATACACCGTGAAGCCACCACCACAGTCAAGCCTGTGAACACAGCCGTGGCACGCAGAGTTTCCTCCTGCAGCTTCGTGTTCCCTTTGCTCCCTCACAGCAGCCACGGACTTGCTGTCACCACTGACTAGTTGGCATTTTCTCACATTTTATATACGTGCAAGTATACAGTATGTATTCCTTCATGGTCTGGCTTCTTTCATGTAGCATAGTTTTTGTGAGATTCATCTACGTGGCTGCATATGTAATAGGTCACTCCTTTTTAACGGGGGCCAGTATTCCATTGCATGACTTGACCACGATTTGCTTATGTGCCTGTGGATGGACGTTTGGCTTGTTTGTGGTGTTTGGGCTATTACGCATAAAGCGGCTGTATTTGTACATTGGTCTTTGGCTATCTGCTTTCATTTACCTTGTATAAATATCTAATTTGATAGATTTAGAAACAAAATGGCTGTACCATTTTATAGTTCAATCCAGATAGAAATCGGCTTTGAACACTTAGCACAGGTTTCCTCAAAGCTCTTAACCATGGAAACCCATCTTAGACTGTTCCCTATATTCCTTTCTCTCTAGTGCAGGGATGGGCTGCTGAGCATGTTAAATATGTTCTGTCCTTCTGTCTCCTTAGCTGAACACCACCACCACGTCCAACGCTACGGCCAACAGCAGCATTCGGCCGGTCTTCGGGGGGACAGTCTACCGTTCGCCCGTGTCTCGACTCCCACCTTCTGGCAGCAAGGTTAGTATGTTCTGCGTACAAGGACATCACCAACACAGCTCCAGCCTATTTAGGGGCCCCACTGGCTTGTTCCAGTTTCTAAGATCCCTGGATTCAATTTTCACTGAGATGCTGAGAGTAAGCTAGCTTATCTGTCAAAAACAAAAAAAAAAGAAGAAAAATGGTCATTCTGAACCCCAGTAGTATCACGGGAATCACTGGGATGTAATTCTGTGGGCTCAGTTCAAAGCCTGGTCTTCAGCTGCTGCTGAGTGAGGTCCGACGACCCTGGTCCACGAGACAGTCGGGTACACTCACATAAGGAGAGGTAGGGAATATGGGCTAAATGCGTCTTCCAAGTATTTTACAGACTGGGCTCAAGAGAGGTACTTTGCAAACCATTAAGAATTCATATATTTTTTTTAAACCACAAGTAGAGACATGAATAATATAAAGACATTATTAGCCTTTGGCCACTTGCTCGCGCAGACGTGCGTGTGTGCGGGTATGTGTGGTCATTATGAGCAATGATGCATGGACTTCTCTCTTTTCTTTGCAGCCAGTCACCACTTCCACTTGTTCGGGGAAAAAAACACCCCGTGCTGGGAGGCATGGAGCCAACAAGGAGAACCTGGAGCTCAATGGCAGCATCCTGAGCGGTGGGTACCCCGCCTTGGCCCCCCTCCAGCGCAACTTCAGCATTAATTCTGTTGCCAGCACCTATTCTGAGTTTGCGGTAATTCACCTTTTCTAATATCTACCAGTCTCTGGGGAGCACACAGTTGGGGCAGAGCGGGTTTCTTCCCCAGGGCACCCAGACGATTAGGACAGTTCTTTGGAGGCTGAGAATCCCTTTCCTGCCTTGACCGTGGCATGGGGTCGGGTGGTTTAAGGGGATATATGAGAAGGAAGTTGGCAGTAGCAACTCGACATTTAACCTGGATCCTTCTGCTTAAGAAATACCATTCCCTGGCTGCAGGAGGTGACCCTTCTGATCACTGCCCTGGTGCTCTCTTGGTGGAGTTCTTGGTAATTGTCTTAATTCTTTGTCCTTAGAAGGATCCGTCCCTCTCTGACAGCTCCACTGTTGGGCTTCAGGTCTGTATGGCAATCCCTGCATGTCCCATGTCCGTTTTCCAAACTCATCTGTCACATCTGCTGGCTTAATTCCCATCTGGGCACGGAGCTACACTAACCAATCTCAGCTGTACTATCACAGAACGTTTTTTTACAAAGGAAGGAGTTCCTAACGCAGAAATCAAAAATACTTTCTGGTTTAAGTCCCAACGGCCTAACCGGCTGATTAACACCTGTTCAGACTTGAATTGGATTCTCAGCCCTACCTAAAGTCAGGCAAAGTTTTTTTTATGATGCATTTCACACCAGAAGACCTTCACCCTCCCCAATTGTGACATCAGAGGCCTCCAATGTGCTGGAAAGAAGAGAGGCCCCATCACGTGGGGAGGGGAGCCCCAGCTGTGTGCTATCATGAGGTTCTTGGCCTGTGTGCTGATTATTTCCTGGAGTATATGCCTTACTAACCCCCTGGGGCTGAACTGCCAACTTTCTGTCTACTGTGAGCTAGCCACTGCTTATTTCCTTGCCTCTACCTGTTTCTACCACATTGAGCTGCTCAAGCATACATGCGGCTCTGAAAAAGTGATTTTTTTTTCCACTCTTCAGTTCCTACTAACCTACTCCATCTTCACTAACAAACACGTAACTGCAGTGCCCTTTACTTAACAATGTGTGCTCTCTCTTCTCTGTGTCTCCCCTCCCTGTATTGAGAGGGGAGGCTGCTCCTCCCCCTTGGGAGCCATGGTGCCAACTCTCTTGCTGCTGCAGACGGGGAATGGGGCAGGTGCCCAAGGCTGGAGCTCGTAAACTAGCTTCATACTATGGCACTTTTTTCAAATTACATGATTGGTATGGCTTTATTTACAGAAGTGTGTCACTCTGGCTAGCTGACTGCTGGACAGAGGGTCCCGCTTTCTCTTGCTTGCTTAGCCAAGCCCCGTGTCATCCACTTGGGGCTTAAATGTACCTGCTTATCTTTATGGCAAGGCCTAGGGAGGGAGGTTCATCTGGTTTGGGTTGCTCTGGCTGGTAGACTCCGCCAGGCAGTACCAAAGCCAGCAGACTAACCTCTACTAACACTAACCTCTCTTACTCAGTGGTCATTCGTGCTTTATCTTCTTCTATTCCATGTGCTCCAGCATGAGATCAAATCACCAGCAGGTTACAAGGCCCTCAGCCCCAGGGATTGGTAGATAGATGGTCTGGCCCACTGCTTTATAAAGGGCTCAAAAGACCAAAGGTTGTTGCCTGCCTAGCTTGATAACTCCAGAGAGTACTTTGTGAAGTGTAAGGGATTTCTCTTCTGTGAGGTTTTAACAGAATGTACTGGCTAAGGGAAGGGGTCCAGGGTCACCATGTGCACATGCTTCCTCTGTGACTAATAGAATGGTGCTCAGAGTCTCTCATCTGATGTTCCTAACATGACCTGTGCTGGAGAGGGACCTGGGGCTCGGAGGAACACAACGCCCGTGCACACGAGGGCGGGGCATGTGGGAGGGGGGCTGTACTGCCACTGACAGTGTTTATTTTTCAACAGCGAGAACTTTCAAAGGCTTCCAAATCTGATGCTACTTCTCGAATTCTCAATTCGACCAACATCCAGTCCTGAGAAGCCCTGATCAGTCAGCTGCTGTGGCTTCCTGTGCTTAGACTAGATCTGATTATACAGGGGGGGATCTTTCTTGAGTTTAGGTGTGCTTGAAAATCTGGTTCCACTGCCACGGGCCTAACGACAGAAGTGAATGAGAGGCACAGATGAAAATCCATCTCTGATGGATGGTTTAGTGGGTCTTCAACAACTTGATTTTGTTTTGACCCAAGAAATACATTAAGACTTAGTTGATAGCGGTAAGTGCAAATTTTAGCAGATGGAACCTGATTTCTTTGCCCCATCATTCTACTTGCTGAAGCACGGTCAAGGGCTTGTTGTATGTCACCGTTGTGTAGGAAAATGACTGTGCCCGTCCTGGGGGCATGGGACAGGAAGTAATGTTGGCTCGTACCCTTAGAATTAGTAATTGACACTTTTTTTGCTTAGGGATGTTCCATGAATGCTCTAGCTGTGAGAGCTTTTTGCTCTCACCTAAAGATCTGTCTCCACCACACAGGATAGCCTTCCTCCTGATGAGGATGTCTGTGTCAGAAGGTGAGATGGCCTGACCTACTGCCAAAGAGGTGACAGGGAGGCTGGGAGCTCCTTTGTTCAGTTGTGTACAGTTATGTAGTTACATAGTGCAATGCCCTCTGTGGGGATATGTGTGTATGAACACACATGCTTACCTGAACTCTGGTTCTGTAATTTTCTCTGGGTCGAGGCCCCCCGCCCTGTGCCCACTGTGCCGGAGTTCATCTGGCCCCTGCAGTTGGCAGTCACTTTGGGAGGCGGTCGGGCCATTTCTGTCCCGGAGATCTGGAACTTTGCACATATCAGTACTGGGCAGTTGTTCCTGCTACAGCGTCCACATCCTCACCTGCTCTATCAATCACTACTGCTCTCCCCGAAGCACTATTTATTCTCACTCTGCCTGCGCCAGTACGACTGTCAGCACGTTCGATGGTTCTTGAAAGCGTAGCAGCACAGGTTGGTTCTGTGTCCGCCATCCTGCTTAGACGTATACAGGTCCTGTTTTTAAATATAAATATATTCTTGAAAATAAATTAATGTGTATACTTACGTTTCAAAAAGATGCATGGTGGTGTTTTTTCTTTTTTTCCCCAAATCACTTTTTGGTCAGTTTGGTCTGTGGAAAACAGAGAAGACTAAATAAACATACAAGAAATGTTTAGTCAGGAGTGTGATTTTTATATTCTTTTATGCACTTATTTCTAAGTTAAAAATATTTATTTTGAAGGGTGCCTGGGTGGCTCAGTTGGTTGGGCGACTGCCTTCGGCTCAGGTCATGATCCTGGAGTCCCGGGATTGAGTCCCACATCGGGCTCCCTGCTCAGCGGGGAGTCTGCTTCTCCCTCTGACCCTCCCGCCTCTCATGCTCTATCTCATTCTCTCTCAAATTTTATTTTTATTTTTTTTAAAGATTTATTTATTTTGAGAAAAAATCCCAACTCCTGATATATAAAGGGGCTGAAGTCATCTTAGGAAATTTCTGGCTGCATTGTTGTCTGCCCTTAACAGGATTAGCTTTTATAGGGTGAGGTTGCCTGGCCCTTTGGTTTCTTAACAGCCTTTATTTTGATTAGAAAATACACATTGGAAGTGTATACTTGGATAAATTTTGATGTCGTATATGTACACCTGTGAGACCACTGCCCCAATCAAGTCCTGTTTTCCTAGGTTTTGCAAAAATCTCCCAGTCTGTGGCATTTTTAAGTGTTTGTGAAGAAGAGGGTTAACTTTGATAAAGTCCCATTTTTCTTTAGATTGTGCATTTGTTCTAAGAAATCATTACCTAACCCAAGAGGTAACGGTTTTCTAGAAGTTTAAAATTTCAGGTTTTGCATTTATGTCTGTGATCCATTTGGGCTCTGTCTATTTATGTGTATGGCTCCAAGTCTGACTTCAAGTTCATTTTCTTTGCATACAGATATCAAGTTGTCTAGCAACATTAGTTGAAAAGGCTGTCCTTTCTCCACTGCACTGCCTTTGTACCCTGTCAAAAATCAGCTGTATCCATTTGTCCTAATGCCCATACTCTATGGTCTTGATTCCTGAATTAATATTAATGCTTGAAATGAGGTAGTGTTAGCTTTCTAATTTTATTTTTTCATTTCTATCACTTAAGTAGGCTCCACACCCCATGTGGGACTTGAACGCATGACTGGGATCAAGAGTCGCATGCTCTGCCTACTGAGCCAGCCAGACGCTCACACCTTTAAAAGTCACTTTGGCTGTTCTAGGTCCTTTGCATTTTCATATGAATTTCAGAATTAGCTTGTCAGTTTCTACAAAAAAATCGAGGATTATTGAATCTATAGAAGAATTTAGGGAGAACTGACATCTCCATTTTAGATTTTCTCTCACCGATATTTTATAGGTCATATATACAGATCTTTCACATCTTTGTCAGATTTCTTCCTAAGTATTTCATATTTCTTGATGCTACTGTGATATTCTTAAATTACAGTTCCTGGTTGTTGCCTGCCTCTAGGAATACAGTTGATTTCTGTATATTGCTCTTGTATCCTGCTTGCTAAACTCACTCATTAAAAGAAAAATGAGAGGCACCAGGCTGGCTCAGTGGGAGGAGCATGCAACTCACGACCTTGGGGGGGTGAGTTCGAGCCCCATGATGAGTGCAGAGATTACTAAAAATAAACTTTCAAAGAAAAATTATCACATTTGGCACATTCCTTCATGGCTTAACCATGAGACAACTCTGTCTCAGCCTCTACTTCTTGCTTGTGTGGAGCCTGAAGACCAGCTTTCTCAGGCTTTTCTGAGCGTCTACACCAGCCCTAGGCGTGGGCTATGCTTTCTCAGTTCCTCAGTACACTGTGGGAGCTTTAGAAGGCCTTTCCCTACGTATCTCCTTTCCCAACTTTTTCTTCCCAGGCTTTTTTGTATGTCTGTTGCCTGTCCCAACTATCGTCCCTTCTCCAAGCTGCTGCAGCCAATTCTTGTGCCAATAAATATTTTTGGCAAAAGCCACCCAGCCTTGGGAACACGGAGTCTGGCAAAACAAAGGCCAGCTCTTAAACGTTGGTCTTTCTGGGAAATGCCAGAGAGGTCAAAATCCAGTCACAATTCTTTGAGAAGGACTGTATTCTTCCCTCTGGTGCCACAGACCTGCACCAGAAATGCGAGCTCTGGTCGTCGTGATCCACCCCCCCCCTGCCCCCCTTCCCCCCCCCCCCCGCCGTGGGGTGTGGTTGGCAGGAGATTTAAAAAGGTCATAGGGCACTTACCCACAATGCAGCAGCTTCTTCTCAGGGGAAGTTTTTGACTGGATTTCGAGAGTTCTGCACAAGTTGACTCTGACAGTTTCTGCCAGTCCGTTACCTGCTTTTGTAGAAAGAGCCCTGGAGTTCCCTACACCACTTTCAGTGACATCCCAGTTCTCAATGTTTATACACCTAAAACAGCTTCAAAATACACAAAGCAAAAACCAATAGAACTGAAAGGAAAAAATGGACAAATTTACCAGATAAAAAATAGTCAAGGTTCTAGAAGAAACTAATCCCACCAATAACCAGCTGGACCTAATTGCAGAACACCATCCAGCAACAGCAGAAAACATGTTCTTTTGTAAAGTGCATATGGAATAGTCACCAAAATAGACCATATTCTGGGTCATAAGCCTTAACAAATTTTTTAAAAGATTTATTTTAGAGAGCCCATGTACACAGAGGGGCAGAGGGAGAGAATCCTCAAGCAGACTTCCCCCTGAGCGAAGGAGACCAACTCGGGGCTCGATCTCACGACCCATGAGGGTCACGACCTGAGCCAAAAGTAAGAGTTGGATGGACACTTGACTGACTGAGCCACCCAGGTGCCCCCAATTTTTTTTTACAAATTTAACTGATCAAAATGTTCTCTGACCATAATGGAATTAAACCATAAGAACAACAACAAAACCTCTCAGAAAATGCTCAAATACAATCTTTAAAAAAAGAAAAAGTTTCAAATGAAATTCAGATACTTTCAACTGAACAAAAATTAAAATGCGAAATAATCAAAGTTTGAGATGTAGTTAAATCAATAGAGGAAATTTTACAGTATCAAATGCTTATATTAGAAGAAAAGTCTCAATAATTTAAGCTGCTACATTAAACAACCCAAAGTAAACTCACAAGAAGAAAGGAAGTAAACTTAAGAGCAAGAAGCAATGAAGCTGAAGAGACCAAAGCAATACAGAGGAAATAAAAATCTGGTTCTAAAAAAAAAAAAAAAAAATTGGCAAACTTAGTGATAAGGAGAAAAAAATACTGGCAATCAAAGTAAGCCTATCACTACAGATTCTACCAACCTGAAAGGGGTCATGAAAGATTATAAACCACAGAAATCTGACAGCTCAAGTGGGCAAATTCCCTGACACAAATTATCAAACTCACCCCAAAAATAATCCGAATAGTCCTACAGCAATGAAAGAAATTTAATCCATCATTGCAAACCTTCTGAAAATGAGAACTCCAGGCCCAGATAGTATTACCGGTAGATTCTATTAAACATTTAAATTAGAAATAACACCAATTTTATATAATTTCTTCCAGAAAACAGTAGACATACCACTTTTCACTCATTTTATGAGCATGACCCTGGTATCAAAACCACAGAAACACGAAACAAGAAAACTACAGACTAATATCCCTTGTGAACAGACACAAAAATCCTTAATTGTAGCAAATTGAATCCAAAAATATAAAAGAATACACATCATCACAAAGTAGGGTTTACCCTGACAATGCAAGGCTGGCTCTAGATTGCTGGTGGAAATATAAGATGGGGCAGTTACTTTGGAAAAGTCTGGTGATTCCTTAAAAAGTTAACTTACCATGGGACCCAGCAATTTCACTCTTAGTTTTGTTTGTTTGTTTTAAGATTTTATTTATGGGGCACCTGGGTGGCTCAGTCGGTTAAGCGTCTGCGTCTGCCTTCGGCTCAGGTCATGATCCCGGGGTCCAGGGATCGAGCCCCGCATCGGGCTCCCTGCTCAGCAAGGAGCCTGCTTCTCCCTCTCCCACTCCCCCTGCTTGTGTTCCCTCTCTCGCTGTGTCTCTCTCTGTCAAATAAATAAATAAAATCTTAAAATTTGAGAGAGAGCAAGCATGAGCAGGGGGAGGGGCAGAGGGAGAGGGACAAGCGGACTCCCTGCTGAACGGGGAGCCAGATGCGGGTCTTGAACCCAGGACCCCAAGATCAGAACTTGAGCCAAAGTCAGACATTTAACCAACTAAGCCACCCAGGCGGCCCTCACTCCTAGGTATTCATACCCAATTGAAACATGTTCACACAAAAATATATTTACGAACGTTTACATTATTCATAATAGCAAAAAAGTAGAAATTCAACTGTTCATAAACAAAGTATATCCACACAATATTATGCAGCCACAAAAAGGAATACATGCTACAACATGGATGAACCTTAAAATACTGTGCTAAGTCAAAGAACCCTGACACAAAAAGCCATATGTTGTATGATTCCATTTATGTGAAACATCTAGAATAGGCAAATCAGAGAAATAGTTGAGAGTAGTGGTTGTTAGGGGCTACTAATCAGTAAGGGGTTGCTTTGGAGGGTTAGGAAAATGTTCTGAAACTAGATTGTGGTGATGGTTGTTGTACATTGTGAATGTACTAAAAACCACTGAGTTGTGTAGCTTAAAAGGGTGAATTCTATGGTATGTAAACAATATAATTTTTAAATTAAATCACTGTAATCTACCATATTAACAAACCAAAGAAAATCCACATGATCATATCAATTGATGCAGGAAAGCATTTAACAAAATTCATGATAAAAACTTCCAGAAAGGGGAGCCTGAGTAGCTCAGTTGGTTAAGCGACTGCCTTCGGCTCAGGTCATGATCCTGGAGTCCCGGGATCAAGTCCCGCATCGGACTCCCTGCTCAGCAGGGAGTCTGCTTCTCCCTCGGACCCTACCCCCTTCTCATGTTCTATCTCATTCTCTCTCTCAAATAAATAAAATCTTTTAAAAAAAAAAAAACTTCCAGAAAATTAGGAAAAAAAGGAATGTTCCTTAACCTGATAAATGGCATCTACCAAAGTC